CAAGGCCAGGAACATGGGCACAAGGAGGCAGTGCCCAAGCTCAGAACTTGAAGACGAGGAAAGGGCAGCTGTGGGGCATCTGGAGGAAGAGCGCTTGTGGGGAAAGTCTCAGTGAGAGCAGGTGAGCAGCCCTGCGGCACTTGGGGTGAGCAGAGAGGAAGAGGTTCGGGCCTCCGCAGGGCAGGCAAGGCGCTGGAGACAAGCAGCCCTTGGAGGAGCTGCGGGAGCAGGAAAGGCAGGGTTTGCACTCGGCTCCTCCACTTACTCCTTTGCCTTAACTCCTTTGCCTTTGAGGAACACACATTTGGACTTATTCACTATAAAATGTCCATGGAAATGCATTGGGTCAGTCAGCAGCCACTTTCCAGGCCTTCCAGGTTGTTATTTCTGTGACTTTGGATTCTCTATGACATTTGATCTCAGCCTGAACCCATTTGGACATTCACTGACTTTTGTAATTATTTTCCAGCTGTTGTGGCCAGACCATCTGAAATACTTTTGCCCTGGAGAATGGTGTGCTACCCAGGCTCCCGTGGACTCTAACAATGTCCCAGTTTGTTCCTGGTTTCCTCCCCTCCCCTGGGCTCCAGGTGTGAGTGCCAGCACAGCAGGAATTAGGGTCTGTGAGTCGGCCCTGAGCTGGGACCAGATTTGCACAGAAGCAGCAGTAGTCCTTTTAGGACCAAATGGACAGCAATTGTGCAAAGGCTGGGATCAGGGGACCCAGTATGTGGTGTGAAATATTACAGACCTGGGTGCACAGCAATGATCCCATGAACTTGTCCCTTGAAGGACTAGATTGAGCTATGAGCTGAAATTCACAAACGAGCGCTTCCCTAGGAGTGCAGATGGGACTTTTCCTTGACTTGCTGGTCTTCAAACTTGAACGAGCATCAGAGTCAGTTTGTTATGGAACAAATTGCTGCTCTTACCGTCAAAACTTCAGGGTCGGCGGCTCTGAGGTGGAGCCTGAGAATTGCGACTCTAACAAGTTTCAAGTTTCAGGGTTGCCCTACCATTTTGAGCTGACTGAGGAGGACACAGACCTGAAAACCAGCTGCAATGCACTGAGGACAAACAGACCCATCCCTTCACTAGGGATGGGTCCTCATTGGGAAATTGGCAAAACTGGTCCCCTCAGTGTTCAAGAAGCTTATGAGCTGGAAGACAGGGTGAAGAGAAGCACTAAGAAAGGCTTGGTGGGTGAGACAGTGTCTGGATGAAAGAGGTCAAGCTGCAAGAGATGATCAGAGCGAGTGAAGCTGTGAGGCTAAAGATCTGCGTGAGGCCACTGACAGAGAGCTTCACCTATTCACGAAATATTTGTCTTTAGGTGCATGACATGCCCCGTGGATCTTCCATGCTATTGTATGAAGCACTCCAGTGCATGGAGAACAGCACAGAGTAGTTATGTGTGGCAGCACCAACCTCAGGAAGCCAGGGCTGAAGCCTGTCTGTAACTGTCCTGGGGCACGTACCTAACCCTTCTTCCCCCAGCACCCTCATCTATAAACCAGGGTGCTGGCAACAGTGACTGTGGGAGACCATGAGAGAAGACTTCTCAGAGACCGTGGGAGAAGCCTGAGTCTCTGGAAAGTCTTTAGAACAGAGCCTGCTCTGTAGTGAAAGCCATGTAAGCCTCTGCTGTTCTGTGTAAGTGTCATTAGCAATGCCGTTTGCCATGCACCCACCCTGGTGACTTAAGGATGCTGACAAGCTTGAAGACCTAGAAGTGAGGTGTGTGCAGGGAAGGGGACTGCTGGCTTCCACCCACGACAAGGAGGCTCTGAACGCAGAGGAAGGACTCTGGACTTGGGCCTCTGGGTGCTGAGAGTCACTGAAGGTTTTGGTTGGAACATGGCAGTGTGGTCCCTGGCACTGAAGGTCGTTCCTGCCGCTGCAGCGTGAAAACCAGAGGAGTGAAGACACTGGCAACAGGGTTGAGGAGACTGCGGTCCATGCAGGAGGTGACAGGGGCCCTGCCCAGAGCAGAGGAGGGGGACACGGGGAGGACAGCGATTGCAGAGGCCACGCTGAGCCTCTTCACACTGGCAAGAGAGCCAGCGAGCTGCTTCTCCTCCTCTCGCCCCACCCGCAGCCAGCTGAGAATAACTGAAGTGGAGGAAGTCAGCCTCCTCTGAAGATGCAGATAGAGTGGGAAGGAAGCCGGCCACTAAGAGTTCTCTTCAGCCCTTACCAAGGCCTAATCTTGGGCGACTCAGACTCCTCAGTGGGCCCTTGGAGCCTGTAGAAGTAATTCAAGTGAGATAAAATTCCTCAAAGGCCCAGGGAAGCAACTGAAGTCTCTTTGGAAGCTGAAGAATAATCTTCAGAGATAAAAGCAGCATCTGTGACCAAACCTCTGCAGCAGATCTTCAGCCTGAATCCCAGTTGCTAATTAGATCCTTGTGTGAGGTGCCAGCTTCTTCCAGCGGCTTCATGGGGAGGGTTTGTGGAGGGGGCTGACATGCCGGAGACAGCAATTAATCTCCTCCCAGGCTTGATCACACGTCAGCAGTGTAAATGTTGACATGAGTTTCAAGTTGGTCTTTTGAGGAGCTGTGATGTGGCAGGATGGAGCCGCCACTGAAGTTGGGCAGAGCGGGCGTCACGCATTGCTGGGGTTGGCTGAGCTCTGCTCTCTGCGGTGCTTTTTGCCCAGTGTGGCTGAAATCCTTGAGCAACCACAGCCTGGTCCCCGGGGCACAGTGTTGGCTTCGAATGCTCCTGCCCCTGCAGCCCTCCATCCAGTGCCAGCTGCCACGTCTCCTCCCTGAGGTCTCCCTTGACTGTGGTCAGCACCTGCTCATCCTTCACACTGGCTGGCCATGAACACAGCCAACATGGTTTTGATTCCTTTCCTTTTCTCTCTCTTTTTTTTTTTTTTTTTTGGTACTAAGACTTGAACTCAGGACCTTGTGCTTGCCAGGCAAGCACTTATGCCACTGAGCTATATCCCCAATCCACATAGCCCACACAGAATGCTTCCTTGGGACCTGATTCTTTGCTCATTTCTTTCCTCTGTCCCCTTACTTGGGACTCACCACTACCCCAGGAACTGTATTCTGTCGTCCTGTTCCATTTGTGACTGAAGTGCAAGTGATTTAGGAGATTTCTCCAAGGCCCCTCGGTGAATCTGGGTGTCCAGCTTGGCAGCCCACTCAACCCTCCCTCCTTGGACCCACTGCCTCTCTCCAGATGGGCTTCAAGCCTCTCTGCTCTGTCCAGTCTCTGTCAATGCCCATGGTCTCTACTGCTTGGCTGCTGTAGCCCATAGGTGGACGGAGGATGACTCTGCCTCTGAAGGTGACAGAGATGCCCCAGGACACAGTTCCCTTTCTGATTCAGTGAAGAGTTATTGAGACCAAGAGCGCCCTCTAAAAGTCCTGCTGCGCTCACTGTGGGCTGCTGCAGGTGTCTGGATTGTGAGGGCAGTGTACTCATGGGCAGGACCATGCTGAGAGTTCAGAAGCGGGGTGCGCTGGCGTGAGGGGGCTCGGCTGGAAGAGGTGGGCACCAGGGTAGGGGTATCTCTCCCTGGCCCCTCCCCACTAGCTTCTTGCCGACCACGATGTGAGCAGCTTTTCCTCTGCCCTGCCTGTCCTTGTCCCTGGAGCCAGCCAATCACGGATTGTGGTCCTGAACTAAAACAGACGCGTCCTGGGGGGGGGGGTATTTGCTGCACTGGTGAGAAAAGGGACTGAGAAGAAGCTTCTTTGGGAATCAGGAGGCAGGGGCGTCTTACAGGCTGGCTGCACTCATAGCGTGGAGCCACACCCTCTCAGGCCGAGTCCCAGTGAGTGGGTGAGGGCAGAATGAGAAAGTCTCCATGAATGGTGCTTTAGAAGAAAACAGGCAAGTGGAATTTGTGTGGGTGTCACTCAGATGTACGCCAGGACGTTTCAGTGACCTCTGGGAGGTTCTACCAGGCCTATGAAATTGTGTTTCACTCATCCATATATTCAGACACACGCCGGCTTAGCATTTGGCCAGGACTCTGGGGACTACGGAAACACGGGCGAGAAGGATGAGGTTCCTGCCCACAGGCTGCTTACTGTTTAGAAGGGAGACTGACACTGTAAAAACAATGGATAGATGTAAAACCTCAGACGTTGCCAAATGTAACAAAGCATTGCTTTCCATTACTAAGGGCGCTCGTGTTGGCATGATTTCCGCGAAGATCGATAATGTTCCTGTCATCTATCTTGGGTAAAAGTTTTCCCAAAATGGTTCTTAGTGTGCAGAGGAGACGTTTCCAGGAATCCCAGGCCCGGTGCCTCTGTGGCTGATGGTGACACAGGCTCCTGGCGTCTCCCTCTCATCACCCTGGGCACTCTGAGAGGGAGACGGGCACCCAGAGAGAAGAGGAAGCCATGGAGCGCAGAGCTTCTAGGACCCTGTGGGCCACGCCCTCTGTGGGTGCTTTGATGTCCCTGGTGTCCGTTGAATCTTCTCACTGAAGCCCGGGGGCACAGGTGAGTGGCAGAAAGCAGTGTTTAAAGGTCTAGGTCTCCCTGCCAGCTGCATCGAGTGCTTACCTCAGAGGCTAGATGGGAAGAAAGTCAGGAGGTTGCTCAGGGAAGTAAGGCACGCAGCTCCTTGAGTGTGGACATTTCCTCCAGGTGCAGGTTTGTTTCCTACCATGGATGTTGGAAGCCGTTGCTACATCCCACTTCCTGCTAGAGGGTGCAATCCCTGGGCGAGCCTGTCACACAGAGTCATGATGCACTGCGTGACCCTGCACAGCGGCTCCTGGGTCCTGCTGCTGCCCCTGCCATCTGGTCTTGCCCCACCAACTCAGTTCTCTCCACCTGGCCTTCCAGCCCAGCCCGCCTGCTCTGGGGCACCCATCCCACCTTTTCCAGCCCACCTTTCCCTCACCTCCCATCCTGCTCCTCTTTCTCCCTTCAATTCCATCCATCCCATTCTGAACTGACTGGATCAGGAAGCAGCACTGTGAATGGAAAGGTCATAGCAGAGTCAGAAAATGAGTATTCTCATCCCCACGGCACTGTTTATGTTAAACTCTGATTGGTTCACACACCCCCCCCGTTCATTTTCCTGCATTTCATATCTAGAAAGTGAGAGGTTTTTGGTTACATCTGTGTATTCAATCCCAAGCTGCATGTTAGGCTCATTTTTAAAACTTTAAGAAGTGCAAAGTCAGTTCTGCCTCAGGTATTTAGATGTAGTGTAAAGTGGGTCCCGGGCATTGAAGTTTTCTAAAAGTCTTCTGAGATGATCTAACCCAAAGCCAAGGCTGGGAACCACTGTGGTAGAGGATCACTACGTTTCACCACCAATCCATTCAACAAGTGTTAACTGCACACCAACTGCAGAGCTAGTGCTATGCTAGCACCTGAGAAGATCTAAACCTAAATCCTCAAAGATCCTGGCCGTGACATCTGTCTAGTGGACCCAGACACCAGAGCAGCAAATGCAGCATGCAGAGCACACATTTGGAAAATGGCGTGGATGAAACATGCAGTGAAGGTTACAGTGAAAGGTACCAATCTCCAGGTCTGTTTCCTGTTCTGTATGTGTTTCCATAAGCCATTTGAGATCTCTGGGCTCACTTTCTTCACTTTTGGGTGGAAGCACTGCTTCTTCTTCTTCCAGACAGGTCTTGGGTCAACTGGAGCAAGGAGCTGCCCCACCCAGTGCAGGGGCTGGGACTTTAACCCAGGACCGGGTACTCACAGCCTGCTGGGAAACTGGCCACATCTCACCCGTTATGAGAGAAGTCCACACCAACTCAGACTCCGACTCTGACTCCACAGGCACTCAGTCTCACAGACACAATGGCATCGTGCAGCAGGGCGGGCCTTGCTGGCCATGGTGTGTAGCATCTGGGAAAATCCCTTGTAGCACCATATCCACCGCAGACAGATCATTCAGTCCTTGCCCGCTGTCCACATGGGCCAGCTGGAGTGCTTTAAGCATGCATCCTCTCAGGGTGAGGTGTGTTTGTGGACAGTCAGAAGTACTAATTCGCTTCACCTGTCACCTCAGTTGCAGCGTGAGGCTCCCAGGGGCTCTTGGGGCTCTGTGGACAGGAGAGACACACAGCTGTAATAAGTGCCCAGAGACAGTGGTGGAAAGAGGAGAATCAAGTCAGGCCTGGCCGGCTTACAAGGAGCAGAACGGCCATGATCGTGTTCCCCCAGCCCCCATCCTCCTGTGGCACCTCTGTCACAACAAGACAGGGACCTGCTTCTTGATCCCCACCCTGCCTCAGATTTACCCTGTCGAAAAGGAGAGCTTACTCACTTCTCTCTTCTTAAACTTTCTTCTTTGAAGTAGTTTAAAACCTACATAAAATGCAGGAGCGGGGGCTGGGGATTTAGCTCAGCAGCACAGAGCCTGCCTGGCAAACGCAAGGTCATGAGTTCAATTCCCAGTACTGGAAAAAAAAAAAAAAAAAAAGCAGGAGTGGCGCAAAGAAGGCTTTTACTGTTGTAATCAGTCTCCCTGTTGGCCATATCATATAATATCCATATATATGTCTGTCACTGTGTCTCTATCTGTTCATTAGACTTATCATTCTATATCTATCATTATGTGTGAGTCGTCTGACTCTATCTATCTGTCTATCATCTGTGTACTTCTAAATTATTCAAGAACAAGTTATGGGCTTGATACTCCTTTGGCCCAAATACTTCAGTGTGCATTTTCTTAAAGACATTCTCTTATATAACCAGAGTACAGTGAACAAAATCAGGAAATTGTTCTTTATTTGGTGATAATATTGAGTCTACAGCCCTTACTCACATTTACCCAAATGAAGTCCTTTATAACCCAAAGGGTTCTCTAGTCTAGAAGCCCATCGGGAATCCCGTGGTGCACTGAGTTGCCGCCATCTTTTCAGTGATTTTTAATCTCGTAGTTGCTTCCTCTTTGCTGCTCATGGCCACGTCTCGGTGAAGCGTGCTGCCAGGTGTGTGCAGGGCGCCCCTCCATGCGAGTGTGTCTGCTACTCCCTTGTGTCCAGAGTCAGGCTGTGACTGATTGGCAGGACCAGTACAGTAGGGATGCTCTGCCCTGAGCCTGTCACGCTGGGAGCCACAGGAAGCTGGTTTGTCCCTTTAGTGGGAGACACATTTCTTGAAGGCCCAACTCTGTTTTTCCTTGGCACAACGTGCAGAAAGGCACAAAGTTATGCACTGAGTTATTTCTAGTGATTCCAAGGTCACTTTGGCTTTCTTGAAATATGGTTTCCAGCCCATAACTGAATGATTTGAGTGTGATGTTCTCTTTATCTTCTGGTGTGAGGTAATCACAGCCAGAGTTTGATGATATCTGCTCTCACCCCACGCACCTGAGGAGGACATGGTAAGCATGGGATGGAGACTGAATGAGGAGGTAGACCATGAACTGTGGTGTCCATGAAGAGCCCAGTGACTGGTGGGGATGCAGGTCATTTTTCTTGGCCTTTAGTGAAGAAAAGGACCACAGGTGGAATGATACATCTACCTAACTGGGCCAACTCATGTCCAGGGTGCCGGCCCAGCCTCATTTCTGGGAGGAGTAAAGGGGTTTGCTCGCCCCAGTGTGCCGAAGCATCACCCAACCCATCGAGGGCTTGAATAGACAAAGGGTAAACAGAAGATTTTCTCTGCCTCTCTGTCTCTGTCTGATGGCAAGAGCCGAGAGACTTCCGTCCTTGGCACACTTGGTCCTCAGGACTTTAAACGTGGCCTGGGATGACTGCCAGTTCCAGCAGGCTCTGGAACTATCCCTAAATATCCCAGACAGAGAAAGAGCAGAGATGGGATGACAGAGAGACTCTTACCGTTCTTCCCTTTCCCCTCCGTTTGTTTGGAATTCTTGCACGTGTGTGGACTCTTCCTCTTCTATCCCAGCTCAGAAGTAGGGGGGATCTGGGAGCTGTCCGGGGTCCTGAGGCCTGGAACGTCTACATTTCGTTTCTTCTTCCCGGACCCCTTGCCCACTTGACCTTCTGCCTCGGATTCTGGCGCTTCCCCCATCTTCTCGGAAGGATCCTGTGCAGCCTTGCTTCCTCTACACCAGTCCTGGGGGCCTGGCTGAGTCAGCAGCTCCCCCCTTGCCGTTTGTACCGTGTCTGGGTTGTTAATCTCTACGCACGTGCGTGCTGTTGGCCTCTGCGTGCCGGAGGGCAGGAAAATATTAACTTCTGTTCATGCAGAGCATTTTCTATTAACTCCAATGCTTCGTTTTTTTGAGAAAATTCATTCACAGAAACCTGACAAGATTTTTTACGGCTTTTTCCACCTTATCAACTTGATTCAAATATCTCAGAAGTTATTTTACCTTTTCTAACCCTGCACTTTCAAGGTTCTTTTAAATAGATTTTTTCTCTGATTAAAAATAAATCATTCTCTTGGCAGAATATTTGGAAATATCAGAAAAGTATAACGAAGGAAGCAGTTCCTCAAATCTTAACTCCCTGAAGCACTTACTGTCAACCATTTCGAATGTGTAATTCCAATTTTTTGTGGCACTTTATAAGGTTTAGAAAATTAACCATTCACAATTTTGACAATGTCTGTTCTTGTTCATTAACTAGCTCTGCCTCCACTAGGAGGACCTACTCAATTCCTTGCTCATCTTTGCAGTTAGCTGCTAGTCCCACTCTGGCACCCAGAAGATAAGCACCAAGCCTACTCCCGCCGCAGGTTGAAAGGAGCTTGCTTGCTGCCTGAGTAGGTAGGATTATACATGGAACAGTAGCAAGCAGCAACCAGGCAGCAAACACTCAGGGATGAGGTGTGTTTGTGCCCACGCCCCTGTGACTCTGCTTAGTAGTTTTGAGATGCTGGTCAAAGTTTCCTAGCTGCTGTGGGTCTTGGTTTCTCCCATCATAAAATAGAGATTATGATGTTTATCTCTGCAAGTTTATCTAGATTAAAAGCTTCCTCAGCCTCATAGCAGCTCTCTATTAATGGTTGCTCAGTAACTGCCTATAAATCCATCTGCTTCTTCCCACAATGGACGCACTTCACGTTCTTTATCAGGGTGCCCTGGCATTCTTCTTCGTGATCCCCAGCCTCACTCAGTCAATGTGGCTGCGGTAAACCTGAATTCATACTTGGCTCCAGGGGGTGGGCATACAAGCCTGGACACACGCAGTGGACCTCCCTTTCTCCACAGTGATTGGTTCAGGAAGGACATGTGATCAGCTATGGCAACCAATGAGATGCACCTGTAGCATTTTTGTTGTAACTTCTAGAAAGAAAACCTTTCCACTTGCGTTGCAGCTACAGCCTCCAAGCATGGCACTTCTGGGTGGCTCTGCCTCCACTCTGCCACTCCCACTTGTGTGGAGAAGACTTGGCTGAGAATTGAAGCTTTGCCAGGGAAAACAGAATTGAAGGGCTGAGACAGACTATTCCTATTAGCGCTGTCTGGTCATCTGGGTCTAGCCTTGCTTTTCTTTTAAATGAGCCACAGCTATCCCATCCCCTCTTAGAAAGTTGGCTTGAGTTTGGTTCTGTTGTTGCAGTCAAAAGAGACCTAACCAAGACACTTTCAGTACTGACGGTCCTGCTCACCCCTTCCCATTATAAAGTCAGATCCTTTGTTGCTATAGAGTTACAGCTATTTCTACATATTTTGGAAATTAAACCTTTGTCAGATATATAATTGACAAAATATAGCTGACAAATACATTCTTCCATTCCTTTCCAGACAGGGATTTTAATATGAAATAGTGCCATTCATTTATTTTACTTTTATTTTTTGTGCCTTTGGTGTCATAGCTTTGAAATCATTGACATGACCATTGTCATGAAGTTTCTGTCCCATGTTTTCCTCAAGGAATTTCAAAGTTTTGGGTCTTATGTTTATATTATTAGTCCATTTTAAGTGTATATTTTGTGTGTGTGTGTGTGTGTGTGTGTGTGTGTGTGTGTGTATACCATGTACTTTTGTATTTAATTCTTTTACATTTTGAATTTAATTCTTTTATATGTGGACATCTTGTATTCCCAACAGCATTTGGTAAGAGATTGCTTTTTCTCCATTGCATACTTTGTCACTCTTGTCACAGATCAGTTGATTGTCTTGGGTGTGGTTTATTCCTGGGCTTTCCACCTGGTGCTGGGTCAGACACCATGGAGTTAATCTTTGAGTTGCTAGTCTGAGTCAACATAGAAAAATTAATGAAAGTGATAGCCACATTAACAGGATGAAGGATACAAATCACATGGTCATCTCAATAGATTCATATATAAGAAAAAATCATCATGATAAGAATTCTACAAACTAATCATAGAAACAAATGATCTCATTATTATAAAAGCTGCATGTGGCAAGCCCACAGCTAACATCATACTAAACAGTGAACAACTGGAAGTTTTTCTTCTAAAACACAGAATGAGGTGGATGCTTACTTTGGTCATCTCTGCGTGACAGATCCCTGAAGTTATGCATGGAGTGGTCAGCAGGAAATAGAAACACAAGGTGTCTGAGTAGGCAACAGAGAAGTAAAATTGTATCCATTTGCAGATGGGGTGATCTTTTATGTAGAAAACCTTAGAGGCTACACACACACACACACACACACACACACACAGTTAAAGCTACATTAATCTGGTAAAGCTTCAGATACCAAAATCAACATACAAACATCAATGGAATTGCAATTACTATTCCAAAAGGAAATTAAGAAAACAACCCCATTTAGGATGATATCAAAAAGAATAAAATACTGCAGGCACTTAATTAAGGAGATGCAAGGTGTGTACACAAAGATAATAAGACATTGATAAAAAAATTACAACACACAAATAAATAGAAAGATATCTCATGTTTATGAATGAGAAGATTTCATTTTATGTGCATGTCCTCACTACCTAAAACAATCTACTGATTCAATGCAATACTTATAAAAATTCCAATGGGGGCTGGGGATTTAGCTCAGTGGCAAAGCGCCTGCCTGGCAAGCGCAAGGTCGTGAGTTCTGTTCCTGGTACTGGAGAAAAACAAAAAATAAAAATAAAAAAATAAAAAATAAAAATAAAAATAATTCCAATGGCATTTTTTCCACAGAAATAGAAAACACAATTCTAAAACTCACACTGAACTACACAGGACCCTGCATAACCAGAAAAATCTCAAGAAAAAAACCAAAGTTGGAGGAATTACACTTCCTGGTTTCAAAATGTATTACGAGTCTGCCGTAATGAAAATTGATCTCTTCTTGATCTTATCATTTGAGAGGTCGAGCAAGCATGCTCGAAAAAGTGGTGCATGGCTTCTCCCACACTGATGAAGCTCAGGAATGATGGGTATTTTCCAGTCATGTCAGAGTTTGCAAATCAGTCACTCTCTTTTTGCTCAATGTTGTACAATTCTGTAAATGCTCCTTTACTTAGAGTACTGCTTATAGATTATTCTTCATAAGAACTCATTTCAAGTATTCCAGAAAGGCCTTATGTTTTTTTCTTAATATACAATTGACACCTTGGTATTTATCAAGTTGACATTGCATAACTGATGTGACATCTTTTTCTGTAAGATTTTTTATTAGTACATATTTGCAGTACATGATGCTTATGTTCCTTGTGGGATTAGTACATGGACACAACACACCTTAATTCCTTTTTCATCCCCTTTCCCCTTCTCCCTCCACCTCCCTCCAGCTCTTGATCCCCTCCTTATTTGAGAAGATTAGTCTCCTTACTTGCTATTACCTATCTTTTATTTCCTGTTTATAATTTGGACTTCTCAGTCAAGAGAAAACGATGCAATTTTAAGTTTGTGTGTTGGATTTATCTCACTTAACATCATGATCTCAAGGTGCACACATTTTCTTACAAATGATTCAAGTTTCTCTTTCTTTATGGCAAAGTAGTATTCCATTGTGTGCAAGTACCACATTTTCTTTAACCATTCATCTGTTGATGGACATATACTGAACAAAATAGAGGGGCTTTCAAATCTATATACATTGTAGTTTAGGTACACATCTATTTGGAAATGAATATGAATCAGTGGGAATGTTTTCACTTGTAACTCAAACATGGCCCAAGACCAGTGGCATCCCTGTGCCCCACTGGGGGAGTCTGTGCCTCTTGGCAGTTCAGCAGGAGGATGATGGCATAAAGGACTGAATCATCCCTGGCAGGCTGGCTCTTCATAACCATACTTATTACCTAATAAATGAGAAGCTGCTGCTGCAGTGCTGGCACACCACACCCAGGTCCAAGGACAGAAGAGAGAGGAGTAGCTCTCAAAATCCACCCCTTGAGGCAGGAAAATGTTCCCATCTGAAAAGCTCTCATTCCTTTGGAAGAAACCAGGTCATGTGGCAAGCAGGAGGAGCTAGGAACACTCACGGTCTTCCCCTTGGTGATAGACACGTCGCTGCCCTGAATAAAACTGGGTTCTGATAGAAAGGGAAAATTGGTGGGGGTTGCTGATGAGTAAACAACTGAGACCACCTTGGGGACCTGATTCTGAATAAGTAAGTTGCACCTTATGGGCTAAAAGGCCTACATATGTCTGGGAACATTCTTTTATGTTCTTTCACAGCAGTGTGAGCATGGATCTTCAGAATAAAGTAACACAAGCTGCAAGTTTAGAGCAATGCCTGCTGCTCAGTAGGTGCCACATAGAGATTTAGTCATTATTTGCTGTCCAGGGTCAACCCATCCATACGCATACAGTCACAGTTTCTGAAAGGCCTCATTCTCCTCTTCACAGTGACTGCCGACATCTCACACAGGTTGGCCAAGGGCAGACACACAGCATGCTGCAGGCCCCCATGAGATGCCCTGGCATGGTGGACACTCCAAGCTGGCTCCCAGGAGCCCTCTGTGCACCCACATGTGGGGCTCCCC